AAAAAAAATATATCGTATAATTTGTTTCTGAATTGACTTACATGTAATTACATGAATTGGGTTTACTCTAAAATAAAAGGTGTAGATGAAAGAATTTATATTTAATGCTATTATTATCGGGTCTCAAGCCTCGAATATGAAAAATAGAGGGATAGTCGACAACCATCATAAATTTTTTTGAAAAATCATGACATGAATTCTTTATAACTATGGGTGATCAAATCATTAAAATGTGTGAACATTTTAAATATCTCGGGGATGTTATTAGCAGAATTCAGGTTGATTTGTTGAAGTGGAGGAATGCATTAGGCTTACTGTTTGATAGAAAAGTGTTGCTTGACTTGAAGGAAATTTTTAGAAGATGGTAAAACCTGCAATTCTTTATTGAGCATAATGTTGGCCTTTTAAAAGAGAAACATAGAACAAAGTTAAGTGTTGCTGAGATGAGAATGCTTTATTACGTGAATGGCTTGACACTTATAGACAAAATGTGAAACAAATCTATCTATGAAATGGTTGATATGACTCCAGTGGTAGACAAAGGTTGATATGGCTTAAGTGGCAGACAATTGGCGGACAATATCAAAGAGAGTTGTCTTAGATGGTTTGGTCACATTAAACATCAATAATTTGATTGTTTGGTTTGCAAAATTGATGTATTTTAGATTCAGTTTATGTTAAGAAAGTCAAAGGTAGACATAAAAAGACTACGGAATATTATAAAAAATCACTTTATTTTATTAGAATTAAATGAAAATATGACACTCAATAGTACTCAATGGAAAAAAAGGATTCAATTTAGCCAACCCTATTTAGTGCGATAAAGGCTTATTGTTGCTATTGTTGTATTATAATTTAATTTGCATCAACTTATCTTCACATAATTTCTTATCATAAAAAGCAATCCCTTTATCATTACGTACAGTCTCCTCTAACTTGAGGATCAAAATATTTCTCTTTATCTGATCAAGATGGTCAAAGACAAAATCTCAGTAAATAAACTATAACCAGATATATCGACGATAGTGCAAATTAAGAGCAAGTTATATTTAACTTTATATGTATATACCGCACGTATTAATCAAACCGTTGAAGTTTGAACCTGATGAGAAACAGCTCGTTCCTTCTTCTCCTTGGCTTCTCGGTACTCTCCATAAGAATAAGAAGCCAATCCCCAGAGACAGAGAACCAAAGCCATGCCTTTCTCAACGCTAAAGTTCTCGTGAAGGAAGATAACGGCCAAGACTTCCACCACAGGGATGAAGACGGCGATGAGAATTCCGGCGAGCAGCGTGTTCACACAAGAGATCACGCCAACTGCGCCAAGAAAGAAACATTGCCATAAGATGGCCGCAAAAATAAGCACCAAGTAGTACTTCGTCTCTCCCAAGCCGAAATTGGCTGCTTCTCTTGACAGTGCCTGTATTAGAAGTCATGCCGGCGATTGAGGATAATTAGTTGATTTATTAAACTTCTTTCGAGAAAAATTAATATGTAATTAATCTTTTCTGTAGCCTTGAATACGTGTATGATTTAATATATATTTTTAATAATTAAACATTAGAAGAG